AGACTTTTATCTTTGTTATACCATATTTAAAATCCAACTGGAGAGACATTTCAGAATCAGTGAAAATAAGACCCAGTATCTTGAAAAATTTTTCAATTGTATAATTTTTTTTTTTTTATGACTTCTAAAGAAGTATATGCAATGTGAATGAAAATGTTTACAAAGAATTAAATTTAAAAAATTTGATTCTAGTAAATTTTTAAAAATTTAGTTTTTAAACTCTGAAAGATATGAATATTAAATAATGGANTAACAAAATTTCAAAAATATTTGTAGTTTTGTTATATATTTTTTACAAAAATGCAAAAATTTCTAGTTAGAGATTACAGAGAGAGCCACAATAAAATTTACTTTACATACAAACAAAAAACATCTTGTATCATACCAGCAATTAAAATTTAATGAACTTCAACGTTTTTAATCCAGTTGAATGGATATTCAGATGCCAAACACAAAAAATATCTTGTGTGTGCATATTTGAATACTGTGCTGCTTTTGTTAATTTTTTTTTACTTTAAATTTTGTGTGTTCTATTTCGTTTTGTACATTCTGCAACTGAGGATTATCCATTAAACTGGATCAAAACTTTGAGTTCATTAAATTTTAATTGCTGGAGTGATATAAGATATTATTTCTTTTTTTGCATTTTAACTAAATAATCCTGTTTATAGGTATGGTATTTAATTCATCATAGTAAAATATCCAAAAGTTAAAATATACAATTTATTCAATTCTTTCTTCTACATATGCATTTCAGGTTGAACTCTCAACCCCTCTTCAGTGCTATATAATTTGTACATATTCATAAAAAAACAACCATAGGTGGAGATTCAATTTCAAGTACAAACACTGGATATGCATCTTGGATAAAATCATAAACACTGGATATGCACTTGTACTTGAAATTGTACAAATTATATAGCACTGAAGAGGGATTGAGAGTTCAACCTGAAATGCATATGTAGAAGAAAGAATTGAATAAATTGTACATTTTAACCTTTGGATATTTTACTATGCTGAATGAAATACTATACCTATAAACATAGGATTATTTAGTTAAAATGCATAAGAATACAGCAAGCCTATTATTAATAATGTTATTTTTTTGTTTGTAAATTTTTTTCCAGTTTCTACTGCTTTTATTATAAAATTTACTTTATTAAAGTCAAAGATAGCTTCTATTCATATCAACCTCCCAAGTATTTTCAAACTAAGTCCATCTTCAGGGGAGCTTATTACTAAAAACTACTGCTTAAAATACAAATTCAGAGATCAAATATACTCAGGTTGACCATCAATAATTGGGACCTATAGGGTACTGATTAGTCATTTTTCTAGATTATAGAAAAGAGAAAACAAAATTAGAATGTCTTGCTTGTGTTTGCAAGTGATGCCAACAGTGTTTATGCAGCAAGTGATGTCAACAGCCTTGCCAGATTAGAAATCTGTATAGTTGTAAAACTTATATTTTATTGTACACATTATAGTAATATAACTTCTACTTAATTGGATAAAAAATACAAAATTTAAAGAAAAAATCTTATTAATTAAACAAAGAAAACAAAGTTAAAACAAAGGAAAGTATTTATTAGTAAAGCAAAATTAAATTTAAGATTATTCTCTTTCATTAAAATCTTCAAATGTAATTTTGTATTTAATCTTGATTTTGTACTTCAGACATATTTCATATAATAAACAAGTAACAAAATTTTTTAATACTTAATCATGGATTAATAAGCACTTATCTATATGCTCACATTTAATGTGGAGAATCCAAGTGGATGATTGCTTGTTTTATTCCCATCTACCTGCCCAGTGGGCTATATAGAAGGCCTTTTTATCAAGCCAAATGGTAAGGAGATTACCTTTCATATCTAGAATGGGACTGCCCACTCCCAAAAAATTCTTGAGGTTTTTATGACCAATCCAGATTTCTTCCTTGGCTCACCAGAACAATAAGCTGATACCTTAACCGCTCAATCATCCAGCTGTCTCCCATGAATGACTGGACTACTGACAATCGGTGTTGTTGCCACATTGTCAGTGATGTTTTCTTTATTTCACAGTGATGATAGATTACTTCCTATATTTATTATTTGATGGTGTATTTGAAGATGTTCTACTGAATAAATAATTAAAAATATCTTCTGTAAAAGTTCGTCTGATGGAGAATTATTTTTAATAAAATAAAAGACAAAACTGTCCAAAAAGGATCACCATTTATCACTCGTGTTCCAAGACTAAAACATTTTCGGCGACTGACCTTCCTTTTTAGGCTACTTGTCGCCGTAAAGTTCACAAAAAGTCCTTTTAAAAACACAAAACATTCAATTAAAATTTTATAAAATTTCTGAAAAAGGAACTGGTGACATGCAGTTGTCTTGCTTCCATCATACCTTCTTTTGGGGTTTTCTTCTTCTTTTTATCTACTAAAGAGTAGCGCTGGAAAATGTAGATTTTTAGAGAAGTTGCCCCCTGGTGACGATATATGTAGAAATTTCTTCTGTAAAAGTTCGTCCGATGGAGAATTATTTTTAATAAAATAAAAGACAAAACTGTCCAAAAAGGATCACCATTTATTACTTGTGTTCCAAGACTAAAACATTTTCGGCGACTGACCTTCCTTTTTAGGCTACTTGTCGCCGTAAAGTTCACAAAAAGTCCTTTTAAAAACACAAAACATCCAATTAAAATTTTATAAAATTTCTGAAAAAGGAACTGGTGACATGCAGTTGTCTTGCTTCCATCATACCTTCTTTTGG